GTCATCAGCCAAGCAGGCTGTGGCAGTCAGTGTAGAGTTAACTGCTGCCCCCAAAGGTTTTCCAATTGGAGCATATTTTTTACATCAGAACAATTCAAGATTTATTGCTTCCCCTCAAGTTATTTTAAGACCAGATTTTTTTCATCAAATTGTTTGTCTAAATCCTTCATCACATTCAGCTCCTCTGCTACCTTCTCACCCCCAACACAAAATTGCACTGTTTGTTAATGTTTTTATTCTATTGAGAGGCATTATATTTTCTCTGACTCTTTTTTTGGTCATTAGCATTCTGTTTGCATTTATCACAAGATATTCAGGGACAGCTAACCTCACAGTATCTTGGTCCTCTAGACTGGCATAAACTGGCAGATACTCTATGGATGTGCTGGGAGTATGCTTGCCTCTACCGGGTGAGTTATTTTAAATTTGAAACTATGTCAAGGCAGTGCATGAAAAACGCTGCTAAAGCGTAAAATTGCAACAAACGGGGAATTTGTGTATGTGCTAATGTCAAAAGAAATGAATTCAAATTGTGACTGATTATTCAGTGAAGCCTGTGGGCGATCAGGAATGCACAGACAAACTCAGAAGACTTAAATAAAGAATCCTAGCACTAACCATTCAGGCAATTAATAACGGTTCTGTCTTAATGAAATTTGCAAATCTGGTAAATCTGATGTGTAGAATCCTTTAAACTGTTATTCATCAAATGGTTTGCCCCTCATGGAAGGATATATGTAACTATTTCAAGCAAGTAATGATCGTTTCTGTCTCAAGCTCCTGTAGAAAAATATGATCATCAGAGAGCTTTGAAAATATCGTTACCACTTCCCCTAAAAGGAAGAATGGTTTTGAGATTAGGGCCTGGGAATGGGATTTGGAGGGTCTGGTCTGGGTTTCCCTGATTTGTCACAAACATTCATACATCTTCAGGATGTGTTTCAAAAGAGATTACCTGCCAGCTCAATAAAAGCAGAAACGGCCACGTTTTCAAATGTGTTAATTTTGCTGGGTTCTGAGCCCTCTGGAAACTCCTTTGCAGCTGTGGGAGTCTTGAAAAGACTCTGTCCATCTGCACCTCAAGTTTCTAGCTTTAAAATAGCAATAATATTCTCCTTCTTTGATCGTTTTGCTTTCCCTTTCCTTTCTGTGTGGATTATAAGTGTTTTGGAGCAGGGGCACTCTCTTGCACTACATTGTAATATAAATCTTAATTTGGAGTTGTTTAGCCTGAAGAAGATGAATGGGACGAGGATAGGGTAGTAATATTCAGATACTTAGAAGATTTTGGCAAAGAGGAGGGAAATTGTCTGCTTTCAAATTTGATGGTGGAAGGGATGAGAACATGATATGTAGCAGTGGAAATTCAGATTAGACATTCAGGAAAAGATTGTAATAGTGAAGAAAAGGAGGCACTGGAAGAGATCGCGTGGTAATAGGGAGGTGTCCATCACTGGGAGTCTCTAAAAGCAAGCTAGGCTGGATCTTGCAGTGGGCCAGACGGATAGACTAGATGATCCTACATAGTAGCTTTTAGCCCCATTGCTCTGTGACACACAATTTTATTTTTAAACTCTCTAAGGTTGGTCTAGTGACTTGCCTAAAATCACATACTGTGTTATTCTAGAGCCAGGATTTGCTGTGCTTGTCCTCTGAATATTTGCCAGCAGATCTCTCCCTGGGCTTCTCTGTGCACTGCCAGAAGCTATTGCTGCTCTTTCACTTTGGGCTATTTTTTTCCTGAGGCACAAAACTCTACCTTCAAATACAAGTTTTCCAACTGTGAAGGCCATCATTTGTTTTCACTCCAAACTTGAGGCAGGACGAGAGAAGGTGCTTGGGTTTTGGCCACGCTCCCCACGTTTAACTTCTGGCTGTGTACACAGAGCATGGAGTGCAATAAAAGCTTTGCTTTCCAGCTGGCTTCTCCGTACAGTGCCAGACTCCAAGCCAGATTTCTCAGACTGATTTAAATCAGCCCAGATTTTAGTGTACTATCTCCTGTGCAAATATGGTCGAGAAAGTGTTGCCCTGTGGCCTGGGCTCTTATTGCTTATCAAAACTTCTGGCTTTAGCTGTTATTGCATAGTGATGCAATGGCATCATTCTGGGCACAGAGGCTGCACCTACATCGTTACAAAAATTTTCCAAAGCCTCTCTGGCCTTGGAGGTGAGTGACATGGCTGGACTTGCATCCAACCCACCGTCTTTCCTCCCAAACTGGCAGCTGTATGTGCATCCCAACTGCCTGAGGGCCCTGATCCAGGCGGTGACCAGCTATGGGCTGGGACAGGGCTGGCTGCTATGGGCTGGGACACTGCTGGGAACTGTGTGAACACTTGCAGATTATGGATGATCATTTGCTGGTGCTTGGGCCAATGCCCTGGACCCCCTTAGTTTCCAAGGGGAAATGTAGCTTGCAGAGGGCCCTGCCAGGGAGGGCAGTGCAGATGTCATCCAGACTGGATGTTAGCTCCAGCCTCATCTTTGTGTTTTGTTAGCTGAGGAAACTGGCAACACGTGAGTCCAGGGTACCCTCAAAGCCTGGTGATGGGGCTAGACATACCCGTGTGCTCAATGTGCTGCTGCTTGGGAAATATTTTCGTTGGGTTCGTTTCTAAAGAGAAACAGATGGTTATTGTCAACGATGGGCTGAGGATGTTTGAGGACTTAAAAAGGAAATGTTTTCTCCCTGACAGAGGATTACTTTTACTCAATCAGATTAGACGATCTGTTTGTATGGCCTTGGAATATTTGAATCTAATATGAAAATCAAATTTACCTTGTGTTTTTTTAAGGTCACTGGGTTATATTCTTTGCAATAGTCTTCAGCTCTGCTGCAGGCAAATGCGGAGGACTGGCCTCTAAACAGTTCATTGCTTTCTGCATTTGGCAGATGTGGCTCTGCTGCATCTTCCTTTAGCATTGGGATCTGATGAGGGTGGTGGAGCTGTGCTGTGCTTACCTGCTGAAAAGGGGCAGCCCAGGCCATGTAAGCTTCTTGCACACTCTACTTGCCTCTCATTAGCCTATTTTGGGCCCATCACTGGCTATGGGAGTCAGGCAGTTCCAGAGTAGAAGTACCATTCATTACGTCTTTGGCATGTAAACTGTGACAGCCAACAAGTCTTCCCATTAGTGTCATTCGTAATTATGACTCTTCCTACTGCGAATTGGAACAAGACTACAAAATCTATTTCAACTCATCACTCAGACATCATCTTTTGCCTCTTCTGCATAATATTTTATGTCTGTGCAGTACTTGAATACCAAACTATCTAATGATGCCTGCTGTGTGGCCAGCTGAATGGCTGTGTCCATCCATAGATAAGAGCAATTTCTGCATCCAGCCTTTCCTCCCAGGAGACCAGGATGCAGTCAGGGTCATGCTGGTACAAATTCCACAGTGGTTCCTTGTGCAGTATGTATGCAGAAGGGCATGAGTGTTTTGAATTTTCTCTGTATCTGTAAAAAGAAAATAATTCTTAGGCAAATCATTGTTTTGTTTGCCCTGTCTTCCTTGGCTGCGTTTTGCAATTCTTCACTGTGATTAGTGTTACAGCTAGAGCACTGCACAAAGAGGGTAGAAAGTTGGATTCAGGACTAGTTGTACAGCCAGTTTTTAATCCCAGTCCTTACAGTCCTCTTGTGACAGCTTGTGCCCATCTCTGCACATGCACCAACACTAGAGATGCCTGAAAATCTCCCCTTGAACTTTACATTGAGTAAATTACAGATTTACGTTTATACTATTATGAGACTTCTACTAATAACTGGTACTCTGAGAAGTCTGTGCTCTCCAGGATGGGAGCTGGACTGTCAAGACAGCCATGGTAGCACCTCACCCATGGAAGGGAAACATCTGTGTTTAGGCTGGATGTAAGGCTTCTTCCTGGAGCTTGGAAATCCCTGGGAATTGGAGTTCACCCATCCTCTGGGTGATCAGCTTGTTAGGGTTGTGTCTCTAGCTCTGTATCCTCAGCACCAAGATAGGTTTCTCTAGGACTGTTTCTTCATGATGGTTTTCCTGCTGTGTACAGTCTCTGTCTTCCTTGCTAGAAAAACAAAACCAACAGCAAACCAAAACAAAACAAAAAGATAAATACCAGCAGAGGACAGAATTATGTCTGTAAGGAATGTTTTCTTTTTCTTTAAACAGATGGAGATACTGGTCCATCAGAAACTGACTTTTTTTCTTTTTAATTGGTCTAACTGAGAGGTAAAATGAGTTTTAATATCAAACTATACTATTGTGTTTTGACAAAAATGCAATCATGTTTAGTTGTATACAAGTCAGCATTGCTTAGATGGACATGGATAGGGGATGAGAGTGTCCACATAGGAAGGTACCTGGCACTTGTGCAACTTTTGTAAGCCCAGCTACGTCTGGGGAAGGGCATCAGTGGGAAACTTTGGATAGCTCATTAAATCAAATGATTGCTACAAGCGTGGCCTAAGAATAAATTCCACTGTAATTTTAGACAGTGATTGTAATAGGATTTAAGAGAGAAATTTTAGGAGCTGTAGAACATGTGGGAGGTTAGCTGCACACTTATCATCTGCTTAAGACCTCTGTCATTTGCATCATTTAACTGAAATATGGAAAGATTAGAAGTCAAAGACTTCCCTTTGACATAAAAAGGATCAACATTTATGGCTTGAATTTGGCCCGGGAGACTATTTTATCCCACCATCTCTCCCTTAAACCTTGCTGGACTCTTTGATGGATGAAGTGCCCAGTATAATATCCTCTTTACAATTACCTGGGCCTGCTGGACTCTCTAACACAACCGTTTTTGTTCTTTATGTTTAAAGGGAAAGGAGGAGCGTTGGAGAAAGATATAGTAATATATTTCCTTCCTGTTCCTGGGCAGTAGCCACTCTACACTGTGCTAATAAATTAGTCTGATAAGGGTGTTTAGCTTGGGCTAACTGAATTTATTCTCTTTTATGGTGGCAAACGAACACCTCTCTCTGTGTTGCCCCGAGAAGCTGATGGGATGTGTACTGTTCCATGGGGCAGATGGTGTGTCCCAGATGGTCCATCCGAGGCAGGTATCTCTTTGTAAATCTGTCTCTGTGTTACGGGCATGGCTCTTTTCTTGGCCTGACACATCTCCAGGTCATCAGTGCCATGTCTGCTCTGCTGTCGTGGATCTGTAATTTCCTGTCCTAGATCCTTCGAGCTCCCAGGGACAGCGCTGACCTCTGAGGACCCCTTGAGCCTTCTGCATCTAACCTGGGGACTTGCAGGGTACTTCTGTACTGGTGAAAAAAAATAGTGCCAAAGTCCAGGAGTCACTGACACTGTGACTGTGTGGATCATACTGCTAAATTGCTGCAATGTATTTGATGTGCCGCAGTTCCTGACATCCCTTAGGAGTTAGTCCAGGCCAGGATCTATTTCTAGGAGACGTTTTGGATGGAACCAAAGAGAACTTAATAGCATGGAAGTTGTATTGTTAGACTCTACCAGGTGAACAGCATGTTTAGTTTACTTGCAACTGTAGTTTATGTCTTTAGGGACATGCAGAGTGCAGGCTAATGCTCCTTGCGTCTTTGTGACGATTCAAAAGATCAGTTGATCTTTATCTACTCTGAAATCTTCCCTGGTCTAAGCAGAACACCAGAAGACCACACGCGGGCTCTCTCTGGGGGAAGGTCAGGGTCCTCCGAAGAGGCTAAAATCATCCCTCCTACATGTGGGTTCTTTCCCAGTCACAGAATCTCTCATCCTCCGTGGCCAGGTTTTCATTGCCTGCAGATAGTTGTGGTTGTTTTATATTTAGTCTCTGACATTTCATGAGAAGGTAAGGAACATAAAACAAATCCTCAGATGACATTAGGCTCACGTGGGGGAAAACAAATTCTTTCTGCCTTCTGAAGATGATCAGCAGAAATAAAAAAAATGAGAATAGCCATTGTCACAGTATGCAGCAAGCAGCACAGATCACTTTTTCTGCTTTGCCCACAGGAAAGGGCAGTCAGGGTCGTGGTGGACAGTCTGATCATCCATCCCATCCCTATTCTTTCAATCCTGTCATGGTGAGAATACAGAATAATACAAATGGTGTGAGGACTGATGCAAAACTCTGGTTTGCATGCTGCTGGCATTCCCCTTGAAAGAGGCTGGGAAGCTGTTTGCGGATGGTATTTCAGAATTCTCTCTGATATGTTTAGTTTGATGCCTGAATTTGAATAGCTTCATAGCCATTTCATTTCTTTTGTTGGCCAGTTATATGGATACTGGACCCATGATCGTTTTTGATTTCCAGCTCTGTGAAACTTGGCTACAAATCTGTGCCTCTAAACAGATATGGCTCTTGGGGAATTGTGCGGGCAGCTCTTTGCACTGCCTGTTGTACAAGCACAAAGGTGGCATTGCTTCTGCATACTGCTTTTGTAATTAGAGTGTGCCTCTCGCACAATCTACCTTACTTTGAACTGTATTTGTCTTAGACTTTCCATTACCGAGGATGTAATTGGGAGTGAATTATGTGTTTAAGGGTGAAGAAAATGGCTTTCATGCAAGACTTTTTAGACAGATTATTTCACAGAAAAATCTCTGAAGCAACTCGATGACAAAAACCACTAACTAAGCAGAACACAGGACCAATTCTTACTCTCTACCATAACAGTAATTTTACCTGGATGATGCAGGTATAAACAACAGGGAAGCTTAACAGATCTCTATACCAGACTCACTGAAGGTTGCTGAGCTCTGAGAAAGCGAGGAGGGAGCTTTACCTGAGCGTAAACCAGAGATGAATCTCCTGCCTTACTCCAGTAAAACAGCTAATGCTTTGATCTTTGCTCAGTTATGTTTGTACTCCTACAGTGCCTAGGAGTCACGGGCATGAATCACAACCCTCTCCTGCCAGGCTGAGGTCAGTTTTAATACTTTAATATCTGATATATCTCCTATCAGCAGTCTGCATCTGGCAGTCAACAAGTTAACAAGTATTTTTCTCCTCTAACTGTTATGATCCTAAGCAGTTATTGCAGTTAAGGTAATTAGGGTGGCTTATTTCAGATTTGAAGTAACACGGATGGTTATTGGTACTGTAATTCATAACATTTTGTCACTGTATCCCAAACAGATTATGAGGTAGATTTTATCCTGTGCCACTGCCTTGGTAGGGATTCATTTTCCTCTAAAGGACCTGCCATTTTTAATTTGTGAGACAAACAAATGCTGCAGCATGTACTTTTACAGAGCAGGACAGCTTCTCCATTGGTATGAACAGAGATGATTCCAGCATGGGGCAGAAATTCTTTGGTGGACTGTATTGGTTTCTTTATTGGGTGAAGGACCTAGTAAGGCATCCTTGACTCTACCACCTTTTAGAAATGTGTTTGTTAAAGGTGTGCTTGTTCAAAAGATGTTCACAGCCTCTTTGTGTTGGATTAATCCTTTCATCTGGTGATAAGGTATCATGGCGAGTGGGCTCAAGATATCCAGTAGAGGGAACAAATACTCTATGTGATACAGAGCATTATATTCTGCTTGAAAGAAGTGGCAAAGAAGTCAGCTGAATGCACACCAGATAAAGGATTTGCATTGGGTTCAAGTTACCAGCAGCGAAGGTATGTGCTGAAGTCCTAAAAAAAAAAAAAATTAAGTAAGTCACAAAAAGGAAGCTAAAAGCAGAGGTGCTACAGGATGAAGTGAGTGTACGCTTCATGTCCAAGAATTCCTTGGCTTTGGTTTACCAATATGTGTTTCTTAGGGAATATGTAATCAAAAAGACTTTTAAAAGCATGACGGATTAAGATGTGTCTCCATTTTTTCTTTCTAACCATCTTAATTTGGACATTTTGAAAGGCAAAGTAGGAGAGATGGCAGCTGACAGGCGCTGCTATTTAAAGAGGCAAAAATGGGGCCATGCTTGGCAAAAGCCACTAAAAATGGAGAGTTGCAGATCCTCCCAGAATGACCATCCCTGGGCTTGGCTAGGGTAATGATGCAGTGAAGATTTTCTGGTGAATCAAGTATTACTTATTACTGGGATGTGTCCCAGACCTTCTGGTCTCTTAAAGAGGGCTCAGGAGTGTCCCAAGTAGTCCCAGAGAAATTTCTCCACTAATTTGTGGGTGGGATTTGATTCATGATTGTTTAGTTCTGTTAACATGGGAAAAATGAGATAACTTTTGCCAAGCAAAGTCCAACCCAAATATATAACTTGTGTATTTGGAGCTCAGTCTTGCAAAGCCTTGCTCATGCTAACTCAGGCATTCAGCTAGAAATAAATTAGGAGAGTAGCTACCCTTCCCATTTAATTGATGGAGGAAAGAATTAGCCAGCTCCCATCCCAGTAAAACGCCTTATAAATTTAAGAGAAGGGAGGCTTTAATATAAATATCTTAGTTACTTGTGTGCAGAGTGGGGAAGAGCAGACTGATGTGCACCAAATATCCTCCTCGATGAACGTTTCATGAAGCCTAGTAGACACAAACATTCAGCTTTCAAAACCTCACATTCTCTTAAAAAGTCATTATTAAGCTACTGGGAAGCTGCCACCAACACCCAGCAGTCTATATTCCCACACACTTTTTTTTTTTTTTTTTCCTGGGATCACAGATTGCTCTTGGCATTGAAGTAACTACAGTGCAAGTTGTGTAAGAGCACGGGGTAGGTGCTCAATAACATCCTCGCTGTGCTAAATCAAAACCCTGGCATTGTCTTCTGTGGTCTGGGTTTGCTTTTATGTGGTGACAAGAAAGTGACTTTAATTTGATGTTCCAAAAAACTGGCAGTTAGTTGCATTAGCAATTGTAGTAACACTTGAGCTCATGGTCCTTACTGCTCCCTCAGGATATGCATGGAAGCAAGATGTTGCATGCTACGTGTTTTTCCAAGAAGTACATAAACCATGTAAAGAACTTTTCACTGACTACAAGCCAGGTAATTTAAGGATGATGCTGTGTTAGAGAGGTTCTGCCATTTAAGAATACTTCTTAAAAAAAACAAAAAAACAAAAAACACAGAGGTTTAATGTGCTCATAAGCCAAGAACTATAGGGGTTTTCCTCAAACTTTCCACTGTGCTCAGGAAGTCTCAGCTCCAAAGGAGGTTGTCTCAAAGGTTATGGCCATATAGGAAGGATTTACACTGAAAACCGTTTTGCTGCTTTGTTCTTGGATCTGTGGATCCTTGGATTTCAAGACTACTAATGGAGTCTGGCTTTCTGTATATTTCAAATCCAATCCAATAGAGGCCGATGATGCTGGCATCAAGCTCTCTGTCTCAAACTACATTGTAATTTTACTCAGTAAATGTTAATCTGCATGTATCTCTATATAACTGAAGGCAGGTTAGCACTGTAGCTACCTTCTGTGTATTGGTTTATTTTTTAGTCTTTATTTCAATGCTGTTGATAAGCCTTCTTCTGGGTGCAGAGTTTCCAACTCTGGTATCTCACGGGCTGCTGGGGATTCCTGCACAGAGTCAGCTTCGTGACCAGTCAAACTCACTGTCGTTAGTGGCAGAGTTGCCAGCTGCTTTCTGACTGCTTTCCTCAGACGTCGCTATCAAGGCACCTCTACCTTTCCAGAAAAATATCCTAAGCCCTTGTACAGTTCTCTGCTGTTTAATTACTGGAAGGAAAAGCTGATGAACTGATAAGGAACTAGCAAGTACTATTGGGTAAGTAGCACTTAGATTAAAAGAAAATATTATTTTACAGAGCATAGTTTTACTGTTGTAATTACAAATATGTTTAATTAGTCAGCAGGAGCAGATGGGAACCATCTCCTGGCTCTGCCTGTCAGCAGACACTGAGACAAATCATGTGGGAATGTCCAGAGTTATGCTGTGTTTTTATTTATGTATTTATTCTTTGGTTGTTTTCTAGATTCCTTTCCTGATGTCTTACAGGTCTCCAGGTTTGTGGTTTACAGAATGGATGACATTGCATCAGACTTGGGCACATTTCTGTTGAGGTCAATAGTCTCAGAGGAAAAATTATATTGCTAACATGGGAATTTCGTATTTGGATCATATCAGCTTAGTGGCTGGCTCAGATGCTGAAGCATTAGGGTTTTTACTCTTTATA